TGCACGGCACATCCCGAATAAATTCCAGGGTACCCCCCAGGAGGCCCGTCGCGCGACAAGAAGGCGAGTCAGCGGACGAGTTGCGCGCGTACTGTAGGGATTTCGCGTCAAGTTAAATAGAATGTTCCATTGTACGTCCTACATCGCACATCACGCGCTGCGACTCGTCCGACTCTGCCTTCTTGCCGCGCGACGACGGGCCTTCTGGGGGGTGTTACCCCGTGTGCCCAAATTCGATACCCATACCGTTGCGCTCACTATGCACCGCCATTAGTTAACACGCACACCCACCCATTAAATCCTTCCACCATGAAGGTAATGTTGCAACGATGTCACCGTTCCCGAGGGATATGTATTTGTGTCACAGTTCGAAATGTAATCAATGAATAAAGGTAGGGGGCACGATAAATTTTCCGCCCTTGATGTAGGAGTTTTCCGTTACAAGGCAGCCCCCAAAACTAAGGTAACGGTGGTCAGTGGTGACAGGATGAAGAAAAACCATGAGAAACGGCCTAGAACTTCAAGAGACCTCTTCCCTGCCGTGATTTCCGCATGATGCGACTCTCATCGGTGCTGCCCTCTTCAACGCTAACGCTCTCTCTGCTGAACGGCTAGAGACCTGCGGCGAGTGGTTAGCCAGTCGGTGGGCGTGCCACGCCGATAGCGCCGTGGGAGGGCCATGTTAGAGCTGGGGGCATATCCTTTCCGGAGAATCGCGTGTCGGTCCGCACCCTTAGGTGGTCCGCCTGTTTTTCCTAAGTAAGTTTCCCCTTCTTCAGCGTTCGACATTATCGTGAAATCCTCCTTTAAGTGGGTAAAAGATCCGAGTTTGTGGCATTTTTCTACCAGTTAATGTAATCATACCTTGCATGTGCCGCCATTCATGCAGATACCTTCACGACATATTGTAGAATTACTTTGTACACAGCCGCTTTCACCTAAAAATTATAGCTATGTATAGCAACGTAAAATTAATAGTGTTCATAGTTGGCGATCGTACGTGCGATTAGGCGATTAGGCGATTAGGCGATTAGGCGAGTAGTCGATTAGGCGAGTAGGCGAGTAGGCGATAAGAGGAGGATACGTATTGATTTGTTGCTCCGCCCATTGAGCGATCGCCTAATCGCCTAATCGCCTAATCTATACGTATATTTTCCATTATAGACGAATCGCCTAATCGCCTAATCGCCTGATCGCACGTACGATCGCCAACTATGAACGCTCCATAATACAATTTAGAGTAACACAAGAAGATATGGCTGCAATAATGCGTACCTATTCCGTCGCCCATTGTACCGGCAGGGCAGAGGCAGGTGTATCCACCGGGATTCAGCGATGTTTGATCCTCAACGCAAGTAGCAGTGGGATGACATGGAGCACCATCACAAGCAGACCGTTTCGTACACGACCGACCGTCACCCTGATAGCCTGCAGAAGAGGAAAGCGTCCAAGAATGAACAACGGGTTATTTACCGACTGTTTCACGTACCTGGCGGACAATTTCCACAGTGAAACGAGCCGATAGTGTTGAAACATGGAACGTGTGGAATTGACGAACAGGGATAGATTTCGGCTGCGCATTCGTCAATGTCTGCGCAAATCTGACCGTTACCTGGAAATGAATACAAATGAATAATATGTATTAGGAAACACGGATGGGTTCTGAGCAGCCTTTTTCGGCTGTGTGGGGATTAGCAGCAGGAAGATGCTGCTTTTTTGGGTACCCGACAAGAGGCCCGTAGCTCGCCAGCAAGGCATAGTCAGCGGATGAGCTGCAGGCACGTACTGTTGTTATTGCGCGTCAATAAAATAGTTCTATACAAAAAGAAGTTGAATCAATTTGATCCTGTTTTATTGTTATCCGCTATTTTGATCGGAAATTGAGATCTTGAATATTATCTTCTTCAAGCTCTGTTTAATTTTATTGAGGATCTTAGATGTGTGGTGAGCAAATGGAATCGTTCAGTCTCCGTTCTGTTATAGAAAGTACTCTTTGCACGTCCTACATCACACATCGCGCTGCGATTCGTCCGTTGAGGTCCCAGGACATCTGATGTCAACGTGATAGCCTTGGCGGTCAGCGTTTTTTGTAGGTTTGTGATGTCTGGGAGCTCTCACAAGTGCACACTATCACAGTATCTCTTCTTTCTTTATCTTCTTCATAAGACTTAGTCCCAATAAGACACAAAGTGTGCACTTTTCAAGCTACGCTCTGACCCTTTGGTTGACAGAAGCCTTGTAACCAGTCCGTTAACTCTGCCTGTCCATATGTCACGCGAACGGCTCCTGTCTACCTTTTTTTTCGGTTACGATTAGTTCCTCAAACGCCAGCTAGATTAGGGATTAAAATTAGGGGAATTGACTCTCTAAAATGTGCAGAGAGGTGCGAAAAAAGAACGCCATTGAAGAGAAAACGGAAGGAAGCCTGACAAGGCCAAAATTGTTGCTTCCGATAGATGATCGAACCCAAGCAATAATAGGTGATACTCTTAGGCGGACCGCGCAGTTATTTTTTTGGGAGACTAGATAAACCTGTAATACATTTCCAGCACAGACCACATATGGGGCAGTACGCTATCCTCTCCCAAAGGGTTAGGGCAGGGTCTGTCCTATCGTTGTTACTTTTCGAAAATTTTTTAAGCCCCCCCCAACGTGGATTTAATACGACCCCCATTTATATAGCTACTCTGAAACCGTAAATATCTCCGAAATTTCCTTCTATTTCCCCCAGTTCTGCCCAGTTTTTACTGTACTCCCAATAATTCCAATTTTTATCCTGCGCGCCCTCCACTCGCCCAGCCTACTACCCACGAAATCTTACCTTCACCTCAATCCCACACGTGATTTCAAGCGACTAAAGTGGGTTCGACACCTCCCCCCGTTGTTACTCGTACAACGTAGGGTTGACCCTGGTTAGGAGACGAAAATTCCTCTCTATTTATGCATGCAGGTGAAAGTAAACATGCACTGATACTGAAATGATAAACATACAGTAGTGGCCAGAAATTTATGAACAAACGGTTTTTTCATGATTTCTCTTTTGAAAGTCACTGGAACGTCTCCAAATTTGCAACAATTATTAACTACGTGTTTATGATCCACACAGAAAATTTCAACCTTCAGCTCAAATTTGGGTTTAGAAAATTTTAGATTTTTCGAAATTAATGAAGGCAGGTGAAAGATCACTTGATCCGTTTATTTGATTTAAATAATGTATAACCCAACAGAACAGTCAAGTAAACAGTCACTAACATTAAGCAAGTCTAGCACATTGCCCAGAACTCTCTAAAGTATTGGATACATAAACTGGATTTGAATGCGGGGTCAACTAATGAACTCACTCTCTAGTGGGGTCTCTCTCTGTAGTCCCGTCTTTTCGTGGCTCTTTCATTGACATACGAATTTGTAGGTCCTCCCCTAGTGGTTCTGTAATGTTTGGCTCAAGAGTCTGGCCTGGCTGATCTTTTAAAAGCACCCCATGCTGTCGAAACCACTCCTGCATGTGAGAGGCCCGATGCTTTGAGTCGCTGCTCTGCCGACAGGCAAAGTCAGGTCGGGCGGCAGCCACGCCTACGGATACATGACACCTTCCAAAACATGACAGCAAACGTCTGCCTTCATCGCTACCTCAGTCGTGTAGCGTGGTCCCACTTTTTTCCAAGGCAACCTTATCAAGCCTCCGCCAAGTTTCACAATTGGCAGCTGATTCTTTGGATCAAAACGTTCCCTCTCGTGGTGCCGTACATTACTAGTATCCTTGCTGTCATGCATCAGTAATATGTTTTTGTCATTCCAGATGACCTTAGAAACCTGTATCAACCTTCGTTTCAGGCTTAGTCAATCACATTCTACTCCCACCCACTTCACAGCGAGCGCTCTTCTTAGACTTTGAGAACTAAGGGAATACGTAGTATAGACTTAGATTCTAGAAGATGTTATGTATCCGTAGACATGGCTGCCACACGACCTGGCTTTGTCTGTCAGCAGAGCAGCGACTCAAAGCATCGGGCCTCTCACATGCAGGAAGTGGTTTCGACAGCATGGGGTGCTTTTAAAAGACCAGCCAGGCCAGACTCTGAGCCAAACATTACAGAACCACTAGGGGAGGACCTACAATTCGTATGTCAATGAAAGAGCCACGAAAAGACGGGACTACAGAGAGAGACCCCACTAGAGAGTGAGTTCATTAGTTGACCCCGCATTCAAATCCAGTTTATGTATCCAATACTTTAGAGAGTTCTGGGCAATGTGCTAGACTTGCTTAATGTTAGTGACTGTTTACTTGACTGTTCTGTTGGGTTATACATTATTTAAATCAAATAAACGGATCAAGTGATCTTTCACCTGCCTTCATTAATTTCGAAAAATCTAAAATTTTCTAAACCCAAATTTGAGCTGAAGGTTGAAATTTTCTGTGTGGATCATAAAACACGTAGTTAATAATTGTTGCAAATTTGGAGACGTTGCAGTGACTTCTAAAAGAGAAATCATGAAAAAACCGTTTGTTCATAAATTTCTGGCCACTACTGTATTATCGTTCAAAAACAAATAAATTTAAAGGAAACTTCTGATCATCTAGCTTGGGGGAAGGATAGCATACGGCCCGTGAAGAAACACTACTTATCAAGGATGGGCACACTATCAGAAGATAAGTTGAATCATACAGGTTATCAGGAGAAGTTCAGCTTAGTTCACTTGATACTTTGCAGCGGTTCGGTGGAGTCGCCCGGTAACAAGAGAAATCCTCTGTCAAACCTTGACCGCGAATTGAGTCGGAGTCCAGCTTATTGTAAAAGCTATTGATGAATTCACGGCGCTTATATCCTTGTGGGGGCGGGGCATAAAACTGAGAGAGCTAGCTGTTGTGCTCAGGCCTAAGCCATAGAGAGTTGCGAACGGATCCTGAGGGCTTGTGGGCAACTTGGGTTCTTAATGGCGTTTCTCCACATTACTAGACTTGACCTAGTCTCACCTACCATCGGCCCAGTCTTGGATGTCCCCCCCCCCCAAGGACATGAGCAAGACCATTATTTTACGAATGCCTAGGTTGGTGGCGACGCCGACTAGGTTGGCGAGAGGGGGAGGGTACGTCAATTGTGAATACGCCTACCATTGCTCAATGACGTGAAAAACAGTGGACTGGTTACGTGGATGATGGATCTTTGTCTTCAAATCCATTTTGCCTCACTAAGCTGGCAGATCGGGGGTGTATCTCTTTCCTTCGGCCCCTGGGCTACGCCTTAATAGCAAAGTGAGAACAAGGAACTCGAGGGACGGCAGCCCACATTCCGAATCCCACCCTTCCAAAGTGATTAGTCTATCGATCGCATGACAGCGTCTGATGGGTTGGCGATCGTTAAACGCTCGATGAGGCTGTGATTCATGAGAAAGTGTACACAGCGATTAGGCGAAGTAGGCCGGAAGTAGGCAGAGTAAGTTGATAGAAAGGATATGCATCTATTGGCTGCCTCCGCCCATTGAAGCATCGCTCTAGTCGGTTTTTCCGACATACCTACTTGCCGAATCGCGGATCGATACGTTAATCCCTGGGTCTATTCCAGTTAGAGGGGAGGGGGGCATCATGATGCAGTCTTCTCGGCGAACTAGTGTAAACTCGAACATTCCAGCTTTTCACGCATGTCAAGTGACTGCCCTCACCCCCACCCCCTAGACTGGCTACACTCCCCCTGGCTCGGAGTTACCCTAGCTTTCTGGAAAAACTGCATCATGATGCCCCCTAACTGGAATAGACCGTGTATCCGTCTTATGGACTATTCGCCTAGCCAACGGTGAACGCTCTGCCAGGGCAGTTTTCGTGAGACGTCATTGGCCGTACTAAGTACTCAAAAACGCATATTCGGTGAGGACACAGCCGAATTTTCTTCCTTCACACGTCTCTCTCCGTTTCACGCATACTCGCACTTTTTTCCTCTGGCGATGGTCAGACCCTGGAGGAAATTATTGGAAACGTTACACTTACCATGGTAACCCTTTGGGCAGCCTGTGCACTGAAATTTGCCCGGCAAGTTGATGCAGTCCACTCCAGGGTGACACGGATTATCAAGACATTCGTCGACATCAACACATGTAGGATTCAGCTTGTCATCTGACACCTTATAACCCCAATCACAGATGCATCTGTATGTTGCTCTGGAAAAAGGAAATCTGCGTCATAGAGTCTTCAGAAGTTGCATATTAAGTGAATTACATCTGTTTCTGATGTGTTTCGACGTCGATGCTTAGGGACATGTGTCTCCACACATACTTCAATGACGGTGAGCATGTGGGACTAGACGATACTGACAGAGAGGGCCTGGTATGCCAGAGCGACATTGAGCATCGGGAAACATATGGATATTTAGAATTACCTGAAAGTGGGTATGGGTACTGGGTACGATAGAGAGATTCTGAGCAGCGCTATCAAACCCATAAATACATATTTCCACGTTCATGTCGCTAGGGGAATGATCATTCGAAACAGGACATAATCGTTGGTAGATGTTACTAGGACTAAGCGGAGAGATCTGCTAGGGAGAACAAAAGTTGGTCACATCCATCCGCAGGATTCCTTCCCCTCCTTAAGGGTTGGTCCGAAGCCTTGGTCCGGGCTCAGAAGCACACGTGAGGACAGTATCAAAAAAATTATAAATGCTTTTGAAGGATTTTGCGCTTTATGATGACATTTGTGTTGCAATGTCTGCATTATCACGTTATCGGCTGCGAGAAACAAAGTCTGTTGGCTTTCCCACCCATGGCTAGAAACCCTTGAACTCACCGGAAACCTGTGTCGTGATTCTCACATGTTGCATTGTTCTGGCATCCTGCATGGGTCCCTTCATAGATGGCGCATTCGTCGATGTCCTCTTCACAGTTTTCACCCTGAAAGCTCTCAGCGATAACTCAGAGCCCAAACTGTGTTAAAACTGGCAACGTACAGTACGGTACGGAGGACACAAACAGTTGTACTTCTTGCCGAATCGTGGCAGGCAAGTACCACCGTGTTGACATGGCTTGTTCGCACATCCGTCCATGGCCAATAGGTCGGCTAGGGCTCTGAAAAGAAGCTACTCGCTACACGGTGCTATTTATTGTACTTGGGAAGGGCTTCTTTATTTGGACCGAGCCTAGGACGGCAAGAGGAATTCGGGTGGAATGAAATTGCTTACATACCCTCTCTCCTAGCCCTCCCCTCCTCCTGAAGCTTAGACCTTCGGGGACTGTGGAGAAGAGGACTTAGGTAGGTGCCCGAGAGGATGCCCGGTGGCGGCGAGAAGGCAGAGACGGGGACAGGTCAGTTCAGCGGACGAGTTGCAGCTGTCGTGCTGTAGCGAATCAGCGTCAGGTTAACCAGAATGTTCTATATTACGTCACCCATCGACACAACCAGCGAATCGCACGCCGATCCGTCTGCGTCTCTGCCTTCTCGCCACACGACGGGTCTCCTGTTGGGTACCCGACCGTAGTACAGCAGCGCCAAGAATCTCATGAAA